TTCGGAACAAATTAAGCCCTTATTCAGGCTATCCCGTATACTTCTAATCGAAGGCACCTTGGAGTTCGCCGCTTTTGCTGGTCAGAAATTCCGTCTTTCCAGCGTTTGTGGATGAAAGGTAGAATAGGAGGTAAAAACCGACTCACGTTGAAGGCCACATCCATGTGCATCTACTCTTTCACTTGCTCCTGTGGAGCAGGATACATTGGCCGATCAACGAGGCGCCTGAAGCACATACGTGAACACATACTGACCTGGTTAAGTTAATGTTAAACTAGATCGATCTCGAGTTCTTTTCTCACACACCTTGTCGATACGAATCATCGAGTTGATAATGATGAAGCCTTTCAGGTTGTCTACCGAAAAATTAGCCAAATTCTCTAAGGGCCTACGCCAATGGGTGCTAGCAACGGCGGAGGCAGTGGCTATATGGCTGGCGAATCCCGGACTGTATTGTCAGAAAACGCTAACACAAGCACTTTCACTTCCGTGGCCGACGCTAGATGGCAATCGCATATCGCCTCCACCTCCTAGTGATCCTCGTTCGCTCCGTGTAACTGACAGTAATTATCACTCCGCGTACCTGACCCATAACAATTGCTCCCAACCTATCCTAACTTCCTCCCCTCCCCTCCCCTCCCCCTCTCCCAGCGCAAGGGCCTCTACACGCTAATATCGCCATGGGGGCGGCGTGAAAACGATGAGTTGTAGTCAAGGGACCCTTATTAATCCCGTCTAATTGGAAGATTTTCATTATCCCTGCAATTGTACAGGCCTGATGATGAGTTTCTGAAAACATATGTTTGACCAATAAACATTCCAAGTTTGCAGACGAAACCACTGACTCGATTACCAAATGCACCGGCGACATTACATCGTAACACGACTTTAACAGGGCTATTTTGACAGCTTAGGTGTGGTCATGCGTATATGGCTCTTCCGAGAAGCTAGCCAATGGCGGAATTAAACCGGATGGACGACAAACGTCCGGCTAAATATAAACCGTTGGGAAGATTGTTGGGAAGCCGAACTCTCACAGTAGGTGGATCAATTACAAGCCTTGCGCAGAGTCCTTTTTTGTCGTCCTATTGTCAACATACCTTGTCCACCAGAGGAAACTCCGCGGCAAAATAACTATAGCAGGTTGTCGTCGGTTTGTAAATAATAAATAAATTGTATAGTTAAGGCCCAAGGGGCCCTTTCATTATGGTGGTGGTGGTGATTGCGCAACAACATGTTTCTTACCGGCATGAAGATCTAGTTGGTGTGTCAACATCCTGGTCCAACCGTTGTCTCGAGTCACACAGTCTGCACATTCCTGGTAATGATAGAGGAAATGATCTCTGCGTCTTTTCCCCAAATAATCTTTTTTTTTCTGTTCATTTCCCTTTCTCAGAAGCACAAATTTACGAAATAATTGACTGTGTTAGCGTGTAGATTGTACATATGCATTTTGTAGCCACTAATCCGTTACTTGCATCAACCCTTTTGTGCTTTTAGCCGATAACATTGTGTTCTGTCGACCGACGGTACTGCAACAACAGTTGGAGCAAGTGTTGCTCAAATGGGCACGACAGCAGTTGGATTTGGGACCAACTGAAGGCGCCTGTTTACTTGACCCGGACCATGGCGACGGCAATGATGATGCTGACGAAGACGACCACAGCAGTCTGGAGGAAGAGGAGGAAGAAGAAGAAGAGGAACCTGATTCTGACGATACTCCACACTCCTTGTGTGTGGGCGTCAAGGACGCTAATGTCGCCCGGAGCAACGCTGGTGCCGCTGTGCTCTCCTGCATTTTAGCCTTCCGTCAACTCTACAACCATCCATCCCTGCTGCACAGCTTTCTGCGCAAGCACTTTTGTCAGAAGTCCGCTGGTGCCCGAAAGGTCTGTTTTGGACACTAAAAGTAATTAGTAGGCCATACGCAATAACAAAATTTTCTGTGTGGTTAACTTAGATGGTAGGGTGAAGTATTCAGGCAGGCATTCTGACCTCGGTTGCAAACGTTCAAGGTTATTGTAGAGCCCTTTTAATTAGACCATAGTGCTGCTATTTGTTTTTAGCCGTAATGAACAGTCCTTTCAGATTGCGTCAAATTTGAAAAAAAGAGAGACACGAATAGAAGCGAATATGCATGTTCCCGGCGCGATCATTGGGACAGCATTTTTATTAGCCTGAGCTTTCGGTTTCGTACAGGAGGCCATCGTCAGAGAATATGAGGGAGCAGCAAGCATTGGCATGTTTTGTAGTCCAGCTA